ATCCTGATGCGCCAGGGTTGGGGCTTTGGTCCCCGGGCAGGGTGCACACAGGAACCGACCAATGAATGCGCAGAGAGGTGGAACCACAGATCGATGCTTCTCTCTCTCTCCTTCCTCTATCTAAAAAAATATCTATATATATCTATATATCTCCCTGACTCAACAATGTCATGTATATAAATCTATTCACAATGGAAACAAAAATATGGGAACAATTTAAATGACTGAAAGGCCAAAGAGCTGTAACCCTAACATCACATTTAACTTAAATCGTGTGAATGTGCTTGGTGCTTCTGCAGAACACGGATCATCTGCCGAAAAAGTGCACCGTGGTAAAGGGGGGTAACAATGGCTCTGTGCGTGAGCAGGTGTGCGCCGTGGGTCACTGTAGAGGACAGGGACACACGAGAGGGTGAAGAGACAAGGTATCAGAGATTAGACCCATTAATCATGCAGTCTGAGCACAAGGATGGAAAAAAGGGGGCTGCTCAGAAATAATTAAGATGTAATTATAAGAGCTGGAGAGATTATTTTAAGTGCTTGCAGGTGGCAAAGAAAACCAACTATCAGCTTGTGATTTGGAAGGAAACGGAATAAATATATGCAGTTTTTAAATGTTCATCACATCCACGACTCTTTTGTACACGAAGATATAAAAATATTTTATCTTCAGACGGTGGAGAGGAAATCTGGGGTCCAGACAAGAAATCACGTCATCAGACATCATGGTGTCAGAGGTAGGGTAGGGTGGCTGCCGAAATCAAACTCGCCAGCCACAGTGGTCCTGTGCTGGGGTGACCTCCAGCCCAGCTCCTCAGTTCCCAGGAGCGGGCGCGCGGCACATTCGGGAGTCGGACCAGGGTGCGGCTGCTGCCTTGAGTGACCCCTGGCACCACATCCCATCCCACTCCCAATTTATCTGGGAGAACCGCATTCCTGAGAGGGCTGGGTTTTCAACAGCTCTGCAAACCCTAGTGAATCCACTGACAAGTTCTGGTTTGCATCCTCCTGGCTTCTGGACAACCTTGGCCTTGGATCTCAGCAGGAGAATTTGACCGTGTGAATTACTTTCTACTCTGCTCAGTGCTTCCTGGATTCTCCATGTCCCGCCCACTGAGGTTCTTGGTCGAGAGCCCCTCAGTGTCACCTGCAGGGTAGCTTCAGGGTGGGAGCCAGAGAGGTCAAGGTTACAGTGGAGACTGGGTCCCACCGCCAGCACCCAGCAGGGGCTGATTCTCCGGGGCCTTCTGGGGCCTGGTGCGCTTGTATGTTAGTGGTGGCGTGTGCTCCGCCACATACCTGTGCTGAGAGCATTACTCACTGGAGAGCCCTGAAAAATACCAGCTAGTTATAATCTGTATAACCCGAAGATTTCTTAGGAAATGAAGTCTTACATCTCAAAGTGCTTTGTCTATCTTACGACATTTTACAAAAGGGCCTGGTACGTGCCTTCGGTCTGATGCCTTGTGTATCAGGTGTCGAGAATGTGATAAAACACCCCGGGGGTTAATATGAGGGACCTGTAGAACGGCTTGCTGAACAGTCTGGAGTTGGTCCTCAGTGCCTTAGTGCAGATGGCTCTTGGATGTATTTTCTCTGGTGCTTTTTAAAAAACTTCTACTTATTTATTGATCAGAGAGCGTGAGAGATTGGGATTTGATGTCCCACTTATTATTCACGCATCATTTGCTGACTCTTGTACGTGCCCTGACCAGGCACTGAACCCGCAACCTTGGCGCATCAGGACGATGCCCTGACCAGCTGAGCTACGCAGCCAGGGCTGTTTTGTTTTTATTTTTCACAGAACAGGTGCACTGCCATCTGTAGTTGTCCTGCTGGCAAATGCTTGCCATTTCAAGGAGAGAAGAGTCCCCTGAATTTGACAGACAGATAGAGCCGAGCCCATGACTGCGAGGCGGATCACAGCAATTGTCTGCTGCTCTGTGGCCTTTAAATACTCCAGAACTCGGGGCTGGGTTTTCTCTACCTTGTAGTTATTGTTCTAAAAATAGTCCTAAGGACCATAATGATGTGCTTCAGAAACAGGCTGTACCTCTTACCAGTGGGAGGAGCAGGCAGGAAAACAGCCGCTGGATGTGCCTAACAGGGCAGAGCGGGAGCAATCAAACCCACCTGTGTTCACCGCCTCCCCCGCAACAGTGCACTCTCCACCCCAGGCTCCGTCCGCGTCCGTGACGGTGCTGCCGCGCTGCCCAGACCTTTCCAGACTCCAGACACTGGGGAAGCACCTCCACAATTTTGCCATAGCCATGTAAGCCCTAATGGTTACTTCTTTACTTATTTTCACTAAAGTATCCAATTTCTAATGTAAATAAATACATTGATAAAAGTTCATAACCCTACTGGGAATTCTATGACCTGCTCAGGCTCAACAGAAGCCTGCTCTCTCCTTCCTGGGGGGCAAACAGCTCGGTGGGGAGGGGTTAAAAGCACGTCGGAACCTTGGAACCGAAAGAGACGTCCTGTTTGACAAAATCAGGAGGGCGGCGGGAGAAATAAACAGGACGTGACTTCGCACGGTCACGCAGTGCCAGGTCTGTTTTCTGTGCCCAGCGAGCCGGTGACCCCGTCAAAGCCAGCACGCTGCAGGCAGGCAGGAGTCAGACGTTGCCCCCTGGAGTTGTGCGGCGCACAGCCCGGCCGGCGGTGCTGGGTGGGCCAAAAGGCCCGTCTCGTTTTCTCCATAAGATGTCCCTGGTACAGCTTCGTTATCTTGAACGTCATTCAGAACAATTTTGTTAGAGTGTGCGGGGACAGCTGTCATGTCAGCGTGCATTAAAAAAACTGACCAAAACTGGTGAATTTTTGTGCAGCCATTTTAATATTGAAGATGGAAGAAGATATGCAACATTTTCAGTGTATGATGCTTTATCATTTCAAGAAAGGTAAAAAAGCAACTGAAATGCAAAAAAAGATGTGTGCCATGTACGGAGAAGGTGCTGTGACTTTTGAACGTGTCAGAAGTGGTTTGCGAAGTTTCTTGTGCTACTGACATTTTGGCCAAATAACTCTTAGCTGTGGGGCCGTCTCCTACATCGGAAGGTGTTTATCAGCACCCGTGGCCCTGCCCACTAGAAGCCAATAGTGGAAGACAGCTAACAGACTCAAAACATCCAGATCAATGAAGCCATTGATGAAAATGAAGTGTCTTTTGTTTTATGGAAGACACGTAACGGACTAAGGCGTCGGAGAGGCGGTGAGTAGCTCAGTCGGCGGTGTTACGGGAGAGGGACCGAGTCTTATCACAGGCGGGCAGCCTCACTAAGACATTTCTGGTTTTATCACCAGACAGCATCTAGCGTAGAGGGAGATGTAAGGGAGCAGAAAGAGCTCGAGGCCTCGGGGTGGACGTCTTGAATTCTAATCTCCAGGCCTCTGCCGCCCCTGCAGCACCAAGGCCATCAGACGCCCTGTTCTCCACGGCCAGGGACAGGGGCTGTTTTCACAGATGCACGCACTTCGTTTTGGAGCAGCGCCCCTTCCCCAACCCCCTATATCCTTTCAAACTAGGTTTGCAGGCGACTCAAGAAACTGAGTAATAATCTGGCGTTTCTTCCTGGGGCGCGGCACCTTCTGCGACACGCTTTCATGAGAGCGCGGAGTCCGGCCCGCGCTGCAGACGCTCGCTCACGTGTCTCCAGTCTGCGTCCCCAGCTGCAGGAGGGCTGACCGCTGCCCTCAAGTTCACACGGGAACTCCTCTGTCTCGATGGGCTCCCTTACAACATGGTCAGAGGAGCTTGACCTTCTGCTAGCTCTTTGCCACGGCTCTTCACTTTGCGACTTCACCACCTAAAGGCTTCACTGCTCTTCACAAACCGTCTTTCCGTTGCCGTTGTTGTTGCAGTTTGGGTATTAACTTCCTTCGCTGTTGGTAGCCTTGTTGAAAAGGGCTCTCCAAGGGGGCTGGTAGTAAGCTTCCCTCTCATCTGGTGAGTGATTCTCAAGCTTGGCTACATACCTGGGGAGGTTTCACCTCAATGGACACCTAGTTCTCACCCCCAGGGTGTCGGATCTCATTGGCCAGGTGTGTAGGCTGGGTACTGGGATTTTGAAAGCTCCTGGGGTGATCTGGAAGTGCCCCTGAGACTGAGAACCACTGCACTAGGTCAGGGCTTTCCAACTATAACGTGTGCATGGTCGGCAGCCTGGGAGTCTGGCTAGAAGGCAGACGCCCACTCGGTGGGTCTGGGGTAAGGGCCGGAGAGTCTGCGTTTCCAACCAGAGGCCGTGATGCAGTTCTTCCCAATGCCCTCCGTTCCGACCCGGGCTAAGCAGCGCTCACCCCCACCCTCTCTGTCCTGTCCCGACGCTCACTCAGGTAACGCACGATTCACAGCGAGCGGCCGCGTTCCCCGTGTACACAGTTGTGTTTCTGACTGTCTGACGGCGAAGACCCTTCTACCCTCACACAGGAGATCATCTGAAAACGACGGGACTTGCGAAGCAGCATTCAGAACGATACACTCAGGCTCACAGAATCCAGGGTGCACGCACTCAGGTGGGGACCTGCGTAGAACCCCCGGAGTCTGCATGAAGATAATTTTAAACTGAGGACATCTGCGATCCAGCAGATGCAGAAAGAAATCTCTCTGGAGCTTCGTCCCCTGACTGAAAGTTGGAACTTCTGGGAAACGAGGCTGCCACACAACCCCCCCCCCCCCAAGCGGCTTTCGTTCCCAGGAGGGAGGCCGAGAGTGAATGACCGTGGGTCCCTGTGCAGGGCAGTTCACGGCCGGCAGCAGGCAGACAGCGGCCTCACACGGGCGTGGACATGCGGTACCACACACGGCATCGCTCCTCCGTTCTTCTAGAACCCCCACCCCGTCCCAGCCCTCGAAGCCCCATCTCCTCTCCCCTGCTAACTGAGGTGTGTGAACCTCCGCCTTGACTCGTTTGCTAGGCCACTTCTGAAGGAACCTCCATGTGCTGCCATTCACCCCACTTCACGGGTGAAGAGACTGAGGCTAACGACTGTACCTGAGTCCAGGTGGTCCAGGTGCCAGGGGTCGGTGGCAGACGACATGGGCGAGAGGGTGAGCGGGGAGGCCCCGCAGTTGGACTCCAGCAGCACGCCCTGGACGCGCACCTGCGCGGAGGCCTGCGTCTGCCGCAGGGCCGCCTTGAGCGGGGCGATGCGGTTGAACTGCACGCGCGACAGGCAGCCGGTGAAGCCCGGGGTGTTGTACTTGTGGATCTCCGGGTCGATCTCCCCCGTTTCTGAAAGACAAGGGCAGAGGACGTGAGAATCTCATCGCACTCGCTACATTCCAGCTGCAAAAGGCACTGGTGCCTGGATGCTTGGGTCCCAGTCTTACTCCTGGGTCTCAGGGTTATATGTTACGTCCTTTCAGATGAGATACTAATGACGTGATGAGGCTCAGGGCTAATGACTGCACTTTAAAAAGACCTTCTGTGTGACCAGAGAGCCGGGTAGGCCGAGAAGAACAGACTGCATTTGTTAAAATAACACGCACTCAGAATTACCTTCCGGATACTCGAGACATTGTGCAGAGCAACGACAGCCTTGGTTCTGACTGAGTTTTGTTTCTGTGGTCGGTGCCCCTCTTACAGGCACTGAGCAAGCCCCCCTCCAGCCCTCCCGTACCCCTTGTGTGTCTCTTTCTTATCTTCTTCTTTAGAATTTGTAATTTGAAAATAAAAGAAAAAAGAAGAGTTCCTACATCCTGCATGGGGCATTCCCTTCTCTTCCAAATCCAACCCCCTTGACATCCTGGGGTTGACAGAATCCCAGCCAGAACCTGACAGGTGCTTTGGAAGTCAGGACAGGTGACCAACTTGATCACAAACCTACACACGCATTTAAGAGTCTCCGCCATCTCCCGACCCGGAAGCCCAACCTCTTCCTACACCGACACCCAGATCAGCAGTGAGCAGATGCGGTTACAATGCACCGTTTTACCCGGCGTGACTGCTCACTGCCACATCAGGAGAAGCACGTGTCGTCCCGGCCTTCTACCCGAGTCCTAGACCCTCCCCAGCAGAGTGGACATTGAAGGAGCCCTGAGCTTTCTGACCAGCGGTTCTCACAGTGTGGCCCCTGGGGCTGCAGCACTGGGGCCACTGAGGGTCTCTAGCCAGACGCTTGGAGGGTGGCCCGGCTGTCTGTGCAGTTTTACAAGCCCTCCTCTAGACTCTGAGGCTGCCAGGGCCCGAGAACCGTGGACAACCCAGGCAATACCCGTGCGGTACCGCAAACCTAGGTGAGGGGCCAATGGCACTTTAGCAATTTGTATTCTGGATGAGAGATTGTGCTACCACAATGATCACTTTTTAAATACAAGGACAGGAATGTGGCACATTTACCCTTGTACTTGAACTGTGAGTAACAAAGACTGGAACCAGAACGCTAACCACTTCTTTAAAAAGTGGACTTCGAGCCCTGGCTGGTGTGGCTCAGTGGATTGAGCACCGGCCTGCAAACCAAAGGGCATCACTGGTTCGATTCCCAGTCAGGGCACGTGCCTAGGTTGCAGACCAGATCCCCCCACTTAGGGGGCACAGAAGAGGCAACCACACATTGATGCTCCTCTCCTTCTCTTTCTCCCCCCTTTCTGCAGGTGATGTTTCTCATTGGGGAATGGACACAGGTGAAGTAGCCTTGTATAAAAATTAACTCCCCGTTAATTAAGGAATAACTCAGTAGAGAAGGGAGATCTTGGGGGGCAGACAAAGTGGACTCATATCATCACATCAACAAGTCGGTTTGAGGACCGGCTTGTACTAGTCCACGCAAATTTCGATGAACAGGAGAGACGTGAAAACAGGGACAAGAAGACTGGTAACTCTGGGAGTTCAAACAGGGTCTTAGGTATGTAAAGACATGGGAGCGAATGATTCCCCATACGCTGTCCTGCAGTGCATTTCAGTCTGTGACTCTGGCTACAGCTGTGCCCCCGAGGACAGAAGGCAGACCGAGCCTGAGGTTCCTTCGATGACCAGGGAGTGGCTCTGGTCCCCCTGGCACCGGTGCTGGCGCATTCCCCTCGGTCATGCTTGCTTTCTCCCCCGCAACGGCAGGCCACTCATGGACTCATCCTTTGTCTCCTTGTCTAATATCCGAACTACTGGCTCTAGGGTCACCAGCTTGCCTTCCACACAAAGTTTGGATATCTGCTCTCCACTCCTCCCTCCCTTGGAACACCCTCTGACCGAGGCTCGAGCTGACCCTGTCCCCGGGCGGAAGGGACACCTCGCCTCCCTGCCCTCTGCACTGGCTGTCTGTCTTCGCCTGTGGTCGGGGCACGGGCCCCAGTGGCCACCGGGTGGCAGAAAACTGGGGGCCACCTCAGCTCCATCAGCTGCTTATGCCCCACACAGAGGGCTCTTCTCAGCCTGTCCAGCCCTGGAGCAGAGTCTCCAGAAAAAAGGTTCCGGGGGCTGGTGGCTCCTGCCATCTGGTGGGACTTCAGTTCCATTCGGTTCCTTGCAGTTCAAGTTGATTCGATTCGATTCGATTCGATTCAATTCAATTCAGTTCACTGACTACCTCGCAGGAGCAGCAGGAAGACACGTGTCGGATTGAGCCCAAGCAGCTCACAGCCTGGCTGGGGAAACGAGCTCGCCAACCGGCAAGTGAACCCGAACACCAGCTGTAGAATAACAAGAGGTAACATTTGTTGAACCCTCCAAACGTGCTAGATGCCTTATACGCATTAGACATTTAATTCCCGGTGCAGGCCCGTGGAGCAGGGAATGCCGTTATTCCTACGCAACGCACGAGGAAACCAGGCCTATGGCTACGCTCCCTCTGCTGCCAAGGCCAGGCCGCCGGACCCCGGGTCTCCGAGTCGCTGCGGTTTTCCGAGCTGAGGACAGACCTCGTGCTGGTGAAATGATCAGAGACGACAGTAAACCAGGGGAGCAGGTCTGTGGGGTGCGAAGGGCACGTCGGGGCAGCCCCACTGGAACTGGGGCTGACGGTGCTTCCTGCCCATCTGACAGGAGGTTCAGTGGGCAGAATGATGCTGCTAAGTCCGGGCGCTCTGCTCAGTGTAGGTCTCTAGAACCTACTGCTCTGGAGCATTCGAGTCTTTATGCTCTGACCGAGGACCCCCGTTCCCTGCCCCCCAGCCCCCAGTAGGTAACCACCGTTCTCCCCTCTGCTTCTGGGTTTGACTGTTTTAAATTCCTGATATTCGCAGGATCGTGTATTATTTGTTCTCCTGGGTCTGGCTTCTTTTACTCCGCATAATGTCCTCCAAGTTCACTGCTATTGTAGCCAATGGCAGGATTCCCTCCCTTCTTTAAGGCTTCATAACATTCCACTGCACGTGTGTATACTATGCAGGCTTTTATCCACCCATCCGTGGGTGACATGTTAGGCTGTTTCCATGTTTCTCTGCCATGAATAACGAATGCCGCAGTGAAGCAGGAGTGCAAATCTCTCTGAGATCCTGATTTCAATCCTTTGGGGCGTATGCTCAGAAGTGAGGTCACTGGGTCATATGTGATTCTAGTTTTTTAAATCCTCACCTGAGGATTTACATTCATTTGTTTTACAGAGATAGAAAGGGGGGAGAGAGAGAGGAACATCAGGTGGTTGCCTCCCATATACACCCCGACCAGGAACTGGTCCACACCCAGGTATGTGCCCTCACTGGGAATTGAACCTGCAGCTTTCTGGTGTACCAGACGATGGTCCAACCATGTGAGTCTCCCCGCAAGGGCGGTTCTGTCTTTAATCTTGTGAAGGCTCCCCGTCCTGTTCTCCACAGCGCTGCCGCATTCCACATTCCCACCTGCCTCTCCATATCCTCACTGCTTGCTGTCTGTGACAGAACCAGGCTTCGAGGGTGAAAGGACAAAGAACTCCGGGTTGAACTTCATATGAGGTTTGCTACCTCCTGGGACCAGTGGGAGTCTGAAGGGGTCAGAGCTCAGGCCAGGCAGGGAAGGGCCTTGAACTCCACGTTAAGACGTCTGCACTTCAGCACGAAACCTGAAGATGGTCGCTCTGCGGAGGGCTGTGATGGAAACTGATGAGGAGGGTAACGCTCGTTAGTAGCGGATCTCATTAACGTGCAGCGCCCACGACCTCTCTGGGCTGAGAAGGGGTCTGCTGGGCCGAGGCAGGGCCACACCCCTGACGGGACAGCGCCTTCTTCGTTTCTCACTGGCATCTGCTGCCCTTCGCTGACCCCTGACACAATTACAGCGAATCCGGTTTGGTTCTGTCTCCCCCGCTGGAGACTTGGGTGGACACCTTCTGACTCGTTTCAAGGCGAGGTCCTCACTCCTTAAAGAGCTGCCTCCCCTGAGTGTCCCCCTGTGAGCTGACCCCCAGGGAGGGATAACAGACAAGGCAGACGGCTGGAGGGAGCCCCAGGGTGGGGGTGTCCGATGGTGCGTCCAGGACCAGAGGAGCCGTGGGACAGAGCAGGGGCCAGGCCGGTCGGGGCCGTGAGCCCCGGTGGAAACGTCAGCTAACCGGGCCGAGGCGTGGCCTGGGCTGCGGGGACACGGCTCCATTCTCTCAGAGGCACCTTTCCTCTGCTCACTCTCGCCTCTAGCTTTCGCCTTCCTGTGCTTTCTGTCTATTGGAGAAAGTCCCATTTTGTCAACTGCGGCTCCTTTCCTGAGGGGTGACAGGGTCACAAACGCCAGGGTTCTGGCGCCCCGGAGACCAGAAGCCGTATTTCCAAATCTGGGTAGTGCCGCAAAGCTGGCTGACATGCCTCCAGGGATCGCGGGCTGAGACCCACACGGGGGCAGGGCAAGACTGCCATCGGTGCTCTTGGTCCTCCTGGTCCTGATGGGTCCAGCTCTGGGCCACACGGTGCCGAGAACATTGACAGCGTCTTAGGAGCCGAGGCTGGTGCGCGTGCGAGGCACGTGCTAATCGCTTGTGCGTGAAGTCTCCTGACAGCTCTCCTGACGGGATCACACCCACCGCACGGGACCGAGGCTTTGCCAGTGGGTGTTTACCTTTCACATTATGAAAACTATGGAATGTTTTGTATTTTTCTCAATTTCTGTCTGAACAATGGGCTGTATTGTATAGTTTCCCTATTTATTTGCATTTTGGGCATTTGCCATTGGGACTCTTTCTAGAAATGGCATAGTGAGGGTTTTTAAAAATAAAAACAATTTAATGGCTGTTAGAGATTGCCTTAGGACCACGTCCCCCAGTGACTGACCCCACAACGCGGTGTTCAGAGATGCCGCGAGCTGGTGTCGGAGTTCACCCCTTACAGCCC